GGGCGTGCTCCCTTTGCTGTCTCCTGAAGACCACGATCAGCTCCTTCGTTTTGTTGACGTTGAGGGAGAGGTTATTTTCCTGCACCACTCCTCCAGGGCCCTCACCTCCTCACTGTAGGCTAACTCATCATTGTTGGTAATCAGGCCTACCACTGTTGTGTCATCTGCAAACTTGATAATCGAGTTGGAGACCATGCAGTCATGGGTGAACTGGGAGTACAGGAGGGGGCTGAGCATGCACCCTTGTGGTGCCCCCCTGTTGAGGATCAGCGTAGCGGAGGTGTTGTAGCCTACTTTCAACACCTGGGGTCGGCCCGTCAGGAAGTCCAGGACCCAGTTGCACAGAGGGGAGTTCCAGTCTGCACATGCTCTGAGGACGCGACTAGGGATGCTGTCTTTGCTGGCAATCTTGCGAGGGTTAACACGCTGAAATGTGTTACTCACGTCAACCAAGAAGAACAAAATCTCACAGTCCTCGTGAGCACTGGTGGCACTGTGTTTTCCTCAAAGAAGGCTAAGAAGGTGTTTAGCTTGTCCGGGTGCAAGGCTTCAGTGTCCGTGACGTGGCTGGTTTTCCCTTAATAATCCGTGATTGTCTGCCGTTCCTGCCACATACGTCTCATGTCTGAGCAGTTGAATTACGACCACTGTTTTGCCTGTGTCACGACTTCCTCCGAAGCTGCCACCTCTCCTTGTTCGGGCAGGATTCGGCGTTCGTCGTCACCGGCCTTCTAGCCACTGCCATTCCTCGTCTCATCATTCAATTTGTTTTGTCTTTTTATTACACACACCTGGTTCATATCCCCTCATCAGTACCTGTATATGTGTTCCCTCTGCCCCCTTGTCTTTGTGTGTGGTTGTTTATTGTGGAGGATAGAGAAGCTTGGTGGAGCTCCGTGTATTCTGTATCGCCGGGATATTTCCCCGTGTGGCTTGTATTTTCCAGTTTTTTGACACATTTCTGCGTAACTCTGTGTTGCAGAATAAAGCCTGTTATTCTGTGATTTACCCTCCTGCGCCTGACTCCTTCGAAATCACCTCATCACAGCCTGTCTGTTTGCCTTACAGAGGGCATAACTGGACTGTTTGTCCTCTTCCATGTTCCCAGTCACTTTTCCGTGGTTAAATGCAGTGGTTCGTGCTTTCAGTTTTGTGCAAATGCTGCCATCTATCCACGGTTTTTGATTTGGATAAGTTATAATTGTCACAGTGGGAACAACATCTTCTATGCACTTCCTGATGAACTCAGTCACCGAGCCAGTGTATGCGTCAATGTTATTCTCAGAGGCAACCCGGAACATACTGTATTTTTTCAAAATTACCTTCTTGGTTTATGCTCAGAATTTTCTTATTGCAAGTTTGATTTGATTGAACCCATTTTCTCACAGTGTCTATCTAAGACTGTTTCCTACTCTATAAATATTTTCCCCTTGAAATGCCATTGCAAGACATCAAAAGGAATGGCAATCAGAATGAGGTACGCTTCTGAGGAAATCCTATACCATTTCCTGTCAATGAACAGTGGTCTTCGTGCTAGACTGACTATTCTTTTGAAAAGCCAACACACTTCAAAAATGTTTTTCACATGACTGGAATACAAAAGAAGTGTGCGTGACAGAATATGATTCGTGATTCATTTTTCGGCTGTTGTCTTTTCCCCGTATGACAATACAATGAGGATTACTCAGACCTGACAAAAAGCCAGGCTAAGCGATGGGTGAAGGAACAATGAATAATACACAAACACCGTAGAATTGGTGTAAATTATAGAGTTTTCTTAGATCAATGTTAAAAATCTGTCATATAGTCTTATGCCTCAGCACCAATGGACAGAATACAAAACATGTAGCTCACAAATAGGGACAGCTGGAATCAACGTTGAGACAACGTTGTGCGTTGGTTGTGCTTTGATGGCCATACTTTTGGAACTAGTCAAATCACTATCTTCTGTATGAACAGTGGCCCGAGGAAATCGCTTTGTCTTAATCATCTAAGAAGAGGTGGTTGGGAAAATAAATTAATTTCACACACAGTCGTCTTCTATTAAAACGTCCAACACGGATAGGGAGCCATGGTGACTCAAAGTTCTGTTCTGATGAGATTAAAAAATCGTATTTTAATCATGATACGTCTTAAATATGGACCGTAGCGTGGCCGCGGTCTCATCTTGAACAGTAATGACATTGTCTTCACGGTCTGAAGGAGGAACGAATGGGAATGGGATCTCTCGACTGGGGATATAGGGGGGAGATAGGGTCTGTAATAGTTTTCTAACAAGGTTCCATGGCAGGGCAATCACTTTGGACATTGATTGCGCTGCGTCTCTGATCATGTAACTACTTTGAGAGTGGCGAGAGGGGGCCTCTCAACCATGAGATTGCGTGTTTGGATCGATTATACTGGAGATCTCATCTAAGATCTCAAACCACAGACCACATACAGTAGCCGATCACCGAGATAGACCGCCCCACCTCAATTCAGGAGTAGGATGGAATAATCAATAAACCCATCGTTGGGTGTTCTTACTCTTATCATTTTCATCGTAGGTTTTAGGATTCTTTTTTTAAACATGATAGTTGTTGTTGGTTATTATGCCTATGTTATATTGGGTCCTACTTTAAACGAAATACAACTTCTAAAGATGTTATATAGCATACGTAAAGGCTTCATAAGCACTACACGAATGCTTCACAAATCATCTAATGAGCGTAAGTCATACTCTATAAATGGGGTATAAACATACATAGTGCGTTATGTCACATTTGACAATTCAGCCGACAGTGGTAATTGTTATGTCACCCGTTAGACAACATTGAGAGTATGACATACGCTTATAGATGATTTTTGACGCATTTATTTAGAAGCACACACACACACACGCGCACACACACACACTAGAGCCAATCTGGCCCAGCTCCAATTACAGGCGCCAAGGTGCCTCAGAGCCGTGTGTGTGTGTGTGTATGTTTGTGTGTGTGTGACGGGTGGTTGGGTGTGTGTAATCTCGGAAACCCAGAGAAATCTTGCGTAATTGCATCAGATGCTTGATTGGGTTCTGGGGGGAGATGCATGAGAAAAGATGCTAACGAGACTAGCTAAGTCTCCACTAGCCTAAACAGAAACTCAGCCAAAGCCCCACCCCTTCCAAAAAAATTCTGCTTGAAATCATTGCTTGAAACTCCGCCCCCACTTTAAGCACCACCTTCACCCAAACCTTATGCATCCAAATAACCAGTGACGGAAGACCAAAGCATTTACATTTAAGTCATTTAGCAGACGCTCTTATCCAGAGCGACTTACAGTTAGTGAGTGCATACATTATATTTCTTTACTTTTCATACTGGCCCCCCGTGGGAATCGAACCCACAACCCTGGCGTTGCAAACACCATGCTCTAACCAACTGAGCTACATCCCTGCCCGCCATTCCCTCCCCTACCCTGGACGACGCTGGGCCAATTGTGCGCCGCCCCATGGGTCTCCCGGTCGCGGCCGGCTACGACAGAGCCTGGATTTACATTTACATTTAAGTCATTTAGCAGACGCTCTTATCCAGAGCGACTTACAAATTGGTGCATTCAACTTAGGATAGCCAATGGTACAACCACTCAATGTTTTAAAATTATAATTATTATTATTTTAATTTATTTTTTAATGGGGGGGGTGGGGGAGGGGGGGTAGAAGGATTACTGTTATACTATTCCAGGTATTCCTTAAAGAGGTAGGGTTTCAAGTGTCTCCGGAAGGTGGTCAGTGAATCCGCTGTCCTGGCATCGTGGGGGAGCTTGTTCCACCATTGGGGTGCCAGAGCAGCGAATAGCTTTGACTGGGCTGAGCGGGAACTGTGCTTCCGTAGAGGTAGGGGCGCTAGCAGGCCAGAGGTGGATGAACGTAGTGCCCTCGTTTGGGTGTAGGGTCTGATCAGAGCCTGAAGGTAAGGAGGTGCCGTTCCCCTCACAGCTCCGTAGGCAAGCACGATGGTTTTGTAGTAGATGCGAGCTTCAACTGAAAGCCAGTGGAGTGTGCGGAGGAGCGGGGTGACATGAGAGAACTTGGGAAGGTTGAACACCAGACGGGCTGCAGCGTTCTGGATAAGTTGTAGGGGTTTAATGGCACAGGCAGGGAGGCCAGCCATCAGCGAGTTGCAGTAATCCAGACGGGAGATGACAAGTGCCTGGATTAGGACCTGTGCCACTTTCTGTGTAAGGTAGGGTCGTACTCTGCAAATGTTGTAGAGCATGAACCTGCAGGATCGGGTCACCGCTTTGATGTTAGCGGAGAACGACAGGGTGTTGTCCAGGGTCACGCCAAGGTTCAAAGCACTAGAACTACTGTTGCTCGTTAGTTGTCATATCCAGCAGTCTTTTGACCGACGTTACGATACCATTTAGAGAGCTGTCTTATAGAGAGCTGCCTTATAGAGAGCTGCCTGACCAACTGTCTTATAGAGAACTGTGTTATAGAGAGCTGTCTTATAGAGAGCTGCCTGACCGACTGTCTTATAGAGAGCTTTCTTACAGAGAGCAGCCTGACCGACTGTCTTATAGACTGTCTTATGTGACTGTCTTATAGACTGTCTTATGTGGTCCTCTGTAGCTGAATTGGTAGAGCATGGCGCTTGTAATGCCAGGGTAGTGGGTTCGATCCCCGGGACCACCCATATGTAAAAATGTATGCACACATGACTGTAAGTCGCTTTGGATAAAAGCGTCTGCTAAATGGCATATTATATTATTCTTATAGTGGGCTGCCTGACCGACAGTCTTATAGAGAGCTGTCTTATAGAGAGCTGCCTTATAGAGAGCTGTCTTACAGAGAGCTGCCTGACAGACTGTCAAAGAGAGCTGTCTTATAGAGCGCCGTCTTAAAGAGAGCTGCTTTATAGAGAGCTGCCTGACCAGCTGCCTTATAAAGAGCATCCTGACCAGCTGCTTTATAGAGCACTTATTCCTTAGTTGCTTTATTCACACGGTGAGCTGCAAGACCCCAGGGGACCACTGGAATGGCCGACGGGCAGAGCAAGCCTCCATACACCTCCTACATTATTTATGAGAACAAAGTGAGTGAGAGCTGAGGTACTTACAGGGATCATTAGGACACAACTAATCTATCCCAGTAATGTCAATACCAACATCTCATTAATGCCCCTCCATCCCAGCTGTGAAGAGGTGGAGACTCGTACAGGAGGGGTGAAGAAGTGGATGCTAAAGGGACTTTATGGGTGCATAAGGTGATGTAATACATAGTAACTCTAAGGTCGGAATGCCAATTGATGTTGTAATGTTGCCAATTCAAATAGTCTTTCTAATATACAGCGGCTTGCGAAAGTATTCACCCCCCTTGGCATTTTTCCTATTTTGTTGCCTTACAACCTGTCATGAAAATTGATTTTTGGGGGGTTTGTATCATTTGATTTACACAACAAGCCTACCATTTTGAAGATGCAAAATATTTTTTCTTGTGAAACAAACAAGAAATAAGACAAAAAAACAGAAGACTTGAGCGTGCATAACTTTAGAAAGCTGACTTATAGAGAGCTGCCTGACTGACTGTCTTTTAAAGAGCTGTCTTATAGAGAGCTGCCTGCCAGGCTAACTTATAGAGAGCTGCCTGACCGGCTGTCTTGTAGAGAGCTGTCTTACAGAGAGCTGCCTGACCGACCGTCTTATAGAGAGCTGACTTATAGAGAGCTGTCTGACCGACTGTCTTAAAGAGAGCTGTCTTATAGAGAGCTGCCTTATAGAGAGCTGCATTATAGAGAGCTGTCTTATGGAGAGCTGTCTTACAGAGAGTTGCCTGACCGACTGTCTTATAGAGAGCTATTTAATAGAGAACTGTCTGACTGACTGTCTTATAGAGAGCTGCCTTATAGAGAGCTATTTTTTAGAGAGCTGAGTTATAGAGAGCTGTCTTATAGAGAGCTATTTTTTAGAGAGCTGAGTTATAGAGAGCTGTCTTATAGAAAGATGCCTGACTGACTGTCTTACCGAGAGCTGTCTTATAGAGAGAGCTGCCTGACCGACTCTATTATAGAGAGCTGTATACAGAGAGCTGTCTTATAGAAAACTGTCTCATAGAGAGCTGCTTGACCGACTGTCTTATAGAGAGCTGTCTTATAGAGAGCTGTCTTATAGAGAGCTTTCTGACCGACTGTCTTACAGAGAGCTGTTTTATGGAGAACTGTCTTATAGAGAGCTTTCTTACAGAGAGCTGTCTTATAGATAACTGTCTTATAGAGAGCTACCTGGCCGACTGTCTTATAGAGAGCTGTTGAATAGAGAACTGTCTTATAGAGAGCTATCTTATAGAGAGCTGTATTACAGAGAGCTGTCTTATAAAGACCTGTCTTATAGAGAGCTGCCTGACCGACTGTCTTATAGAGAGCTGTCTTATAGAGAGCTGTATACAGAGAGCTGTCTTAAAGAGAACTATCTTACAGAGAGCTGTTTTACAGAAAACTGTCTTATAGAGAGCTGTCTTATAGAGAGTTGTTTTATAGAGAGCAGTCTTATGGAGAACTGTCTTATAGAGAGCTGTATAATAGAGAGCTGTCTTATAGAGAGCTGCCTGAATGACTGTCTTATAGAGAGCTGTCTTAATAAAGAGCTGTCTTATAGAGAATTGTCTTAAGAGAGCTGCTTAAAAGAATGCTTTTAAGAGAGTCTTGAACGCCTTTGGAAGGTGTTAAAAAGCCTTAGAAGTTTTAGAGAGGTTTTTAGAGAGCTGTCTTATTGAGAGCGTCTTAAGGACCTCCTTTAGAAGTGCCTTTGGGGGCCCTTTTAAAAGAGCTGCCTACCCCGTTTAGGAGAGGTTTCCTTATAGAAACTGCCCTTTTAAAAACGCTAAAGACTGCTATGGTTGCTTATAGAAAAGGGCCTTTTTAGAGCTTTTAAGAGACGCTTACGGGGCTGCCTTTTAAGGCTGCTTAAAGGGGTCCTGACGACTGTTTATAGAAGCCCTTTTTTAGAGAGCGCCAAATTTTTTTAAAAGGTCTTACAGGGGCGCCTGGGCTGTCCCCAAAGAGCTTTTTGGGCTGCCCCGAGCTGGGGGCTGCTTACGGGGCTGCCTTATAGGCTTTTAAGACTGCCTGCCCTGGCTTTGGAAGCTGCTCCCCAATGTGACCGACCATATGTTTATGTATGCTTTAATTCCTTATTTCCTCGTACTTTTTTTAAGGGGCTGCCGCCGCCGTTTTTGGGGCATCCCCGGGGCCCCCCTATGAAAAATTTTTCCCGTGTTTTTTTGGTAAAACGCGCAAAAAAAAGGGGGGGGGGGGGGGGGGGGGGGGGGGGAAAGGTTTTGGGGGGGGTTTTTTGGTTTTTTTGGGGGGGAAGGGGGGGGGGGGGGGTGGGGGGGGGGGGGGGGGGGGTTTTTTTTTTTGGGGGTGAAAGGGGGGGGGGGGGGGGGGGGGGGAAAAAAGGGGGGAAAAAAAAAGTCCTCGGGGGGGGGGGGGGGGGGGGGGGGGGGGGTGGGGGGACTTTTTTTGGGGTGGGGGGGGGGGAGTTGGGGGGGCGGGTGGGGGGGTGGGCCCCGGGGGGTGGGGGGGGGCGGGGGGTTTTGGGGGGGGGGGGTTTTTTTTTGGGGGGGGGTGGGGGGGGGGGGGGTTTTTTTTTTTGGGGGGGGGGGGGGGGGGGGTGGTTTTTGGGGGGCGGGGGGGGGGGGGGGGGGGTTTTTGGGGGGGGGGGGGGGGTTTTTTTTTTTTTTTTTGGGGGGGGGGGGTTTTTTTGGGGGTTTTTTGTTTTTTGGGGGTTTTTTTTTTTGGGGGGGGGGGGGGAAAAAAAAAAAGGGGGGGGGGGGGGGGGGGGGGGGGGGGGGGGGGGGGTTTAAAAAGAGGGCCCCCAGGCAACTTTAAATTTCGCCTTTAACCCTGTTTTTAGAGAGTCTTTCAGGATCCTAGCCCTTATTAAAGGCCAAAAAAACTTTATATTCCCCAAAGGGGTTTTTAGACTCCTTAAGGGGAGTATTAAGGTTTTTGGAAGGGTTTTAAAAAAGTTTTCCGCCGACTGTTTATAAAAGCTTTTAAAACGTAGCTGTTTTAACCCGGGCCATAAAAAGCAAACCTCCCCTACACTCCTACTTTTATGAGAACAAGTGAATGAAGCTGAGGTACTTACAGGATCATTAGGACACAACTAATCTATCCCAGTAATGTCAATACCAACATCTCATTAATGCCCCTCCATCCCAGCTGTGAAGAGGTGGAGACTCGTACAGGAGGGGTGAAGAAGTGGATGCTAAAGGGACTTTATGGGTGCATAAGGTAGCTTAGTTATGGGCGGCAGGTAGCTTAGTGGTTAAGAGCGTTGTGCCAGTAACCGAAAGGTCGCTGGTTCTAATCCCTGAGCCGACTAGGTGAAAAATCTGTCGATGTGCCCTTGAGCAAGGCACTTAACCCTAATTGCTCCTGTAAGTCGCTCTGGATAAGAGCGTCTGCTAAATGACCAATTATTATTATTAATTATTAAGGTGATGTAATACATAGTAACTTTAAGGTCGGAATGCCAATTAATGTTGTAATGTTGCCAATTCAAATAGTCTTTCTAGTATACAGCGGCTTGCGAAAGTATTCACCCCCCTTGGCATTTTTCCTATTTTGTTGCCTTACAAACTGGCATGAAAATTGATTTTTTTGGGGGGTTTGTATCATTTGATTTACACAACATGCCTACCATTTTGAAGATGCAAAATGTTTTTTCTTGTGAAACAAACAAGAAATAAGACAAAAAAACAGAAGACTTGAGCGTGCATAACTTTAGAAAGCTGACTTATAGAGAGCTGCCTGACTGACTGTCTTTTAAAGAGCTGTCTTATAGAGAGCTGCCTGCCAGGCTAACTTATAGAGAGCTGCCTGACCGGCTGTCTTGTAGAGAGCTGTCTTACAGAGAGCTGCCTGACCGACCGTCTTATAGAGAGCTGACTTATAGAGAGCTGTCTGACTGACTGTCTTAAAGAGAGCTGTCTTATAGAGAGCTGCCTTATAGAGAGCTGCATTATAGAGAGCTGTCTTATGGAGAGCTGTCTTACAGAAAGTTGCCTGACCGACTGTCTTATAGAGAGCTATTTAATAGAGAACTGTCTGACTGACTGTCTTATGAGAGCTGCCTTATAGAGAGCTATTTTTTAGAGAGCTGAGTTATAGAGAGCTGTCTTATAGAGAGCTATTTTTTAGAGAGCTGAGTTATAGAGAGCTGTCTTATAGAAAGATGCCTGACTGACTGTCTTACCGAGAGCTTTCTTATAGAGAGAGCTGCCTGACCGACTCTATTATAGAGAGCTGTATACAGAGAGCTGTCTTATAGAAAACTGTCTCATAGAGAGCTGCTTGACCGACTGTCTTATAGAGAGCTGTCTTATAGAGAGCTGTCTTATAGAGAGCTTTCTGACCGACTGTCTTACAGAGAGCTGTTTTATGGAGAACTGTCTTATAGAGAGCTGTATTATAGAGAGCTTTCTTACAGAGAGCTGTCTTATAGATAACTGTCTTATAGAGAGCTGTCTTATAGAGAGCTACCTGGCCGACTGTCTTATAGAGAGCTGTTGAATAGAGAACTGTCTTATTGAGAGCTATCTTATAGAGAGCTGTATTACAGAGAGCTGTCTTATAAAGACCTGTCTTATAGAGAGTTGCCTGACCGACTGTCTTATAGAGAGCTGTCTTATAGAGAGCTGTATACAGAGAGCTGTCTTAAAGAGAACTATCTTACAGAGAGCTGTTTTACAGAAAACTGTCTTATAGAGAGATGTCTTATAGAGAGTTGTTTTATAGAGAGCAGTCTTATGGAGAACTGTCTTATAGAGAGCTGTATAATAGAGAGCTGTCTTATAGAGAGCTGCCCGAACGACTGTCTTATAGAGAGCTGTCTTATAAAGAGCTGTCTTATAGAGAATTGTCTTAAAGAGAGCTGCTTTATGGAGAGATGCCTTACAGAGAACTACCTGACCGACTGTCTTATAGAGAGCTGTATTATAGAGAGCTGTCTTATTGAGAGCTGTCTTACAGAGAGCTGCCTTATAGAGAGCTGTCTTATTGAGAGCTGTCTTAGAGAGAGCTGCCTGACCGACTGTCTTAGAGAGAGTTGCCTTATAGAGAGCTGCCTTATAGAGAGCTGCCTAACCGACTGTCTTATAGAGAGCTGTCTTATAGAGAGCTGCCTTATAGAGCTGTCTTACAGAGAGCTATCTTACAGAGAGCTGCCTTATAGAGTGCTGCCTTATAGAGAGCTGCCTGACTGACTGTCTTATAGAGAGCTCTTTTATAGAGAGCTGCCTGACCGACTGTCTTATAGAGAGCTGTCTTACAGTGGGCTGCCTGACCGACTGTCTTATAGAGAGCTGTCTTATAGAGAGCTGCCTTATAGAGCTATCTTACAGAGAGCTGTCTTACAGAGAGCTGCCTTATAGAGAGCTGTCTTATAGAGAGCTGCCTGACCGACTGTCTTATGGAGAGCTGTCTCACAGAGAGCTGCCTGACCGACTGTCTTATAGACTGTCTTATGTGACTGTCTTATAGACTGTCTTATGTGGTCCTCTGTAGCTCAATTGGTAGAGCATGGCGCTTGTAACGCCAGCGTAGTGGGTTCGATCCCCGGGACCACCCATATGTAAAAATTTATGCACACATGACTGTAAGTCTCTTTGGATAAAAGCGTCTGCTAAATGGCATATTATTATTCTTATAGTGGGCTGCCTGACCGACCGTCTTATAAAGAGCATCCTGACCAGCTGCTTTATAGAGCACTTATTCCTTAGTTGCTTTATTCACATGGTGAGCTGCAAGACCCCAGGGGACCACTGGAATGGCCGACGGGCAGAGCAAGCCTCCATACACCTCCTACATTATTTATGAGAACAAAGTGAATGAGAGCTGAGGTACTTACAGGGATCATTAGGACACAACTAATCTATCCCAGTAATGTCAATACCAACATCTCATTAATGCCCATCCATCCCAGCTGTGAAGAGGTGGAGACTCGTACAGGAGGGGTGAAGAAGTGGATGCTAAAGGGACTTTATGGGTACATAAGGTGATGTAATACATAGTAACTTTAAGGTCGGAATGCCAATTAATGTTGTAATGTTGCCAATTCAAATAGTCTTTCTAATATACAGCGGCTTGCGAAAGTATTCACCCCCCTTGGCATTTTTCCTATTTTGTTGCCTTACAACCTGTCATGAAAATTGATTTTTGGGGGGTTTGTATCATTTGATTTACACAACAAGCCTACCATTTTGAAGATGCAAAATATTTTTTCTTGTGAAACAAACAAGAAATAAGACAAAAAAACAGAAGACTTGAGCGTGCATAACTTTAGAAAGCTGACTTATAGAGAGCTGCCTGACTGACTGTCTTTTAAAGAGCTGTCTTATAGAGAGCTGCCTGACTAGCTGCCTTATAGAGAGCTGACTTATAGAGAGCTGCCTGACTGACTGTCTTATAAAGAGATGTCTTATAGAGAGCTGCCTGCCAGGCTAACTTATAGAGAGCTGCCTGACTAGCTGTCTTATAGAGAGCTGTCTTATAGAGAGCTGCCTGACTGACTGTCTTTTAAAGAGCTGTCTTATAGAGAGCTGCCTGCCAGGCTAACTTATAGAGAGCTGCCTGACTAGCTGTCTTATAGAGAGCTGACTTATAGAGAGCTGCCTGACTGACTGTCTTATAAAGAGCTGTCTTATAGAGAGCTGCCTGCCAGGCTAACTTATAGAGAGCTGCCTGACTAGCTGTCTTATAGAGAGCTGTCTTATAGAGAGCTGCCTGACTAGCTGCCTTATAGAGAGCTGACTTATAGAGAGCTGCCTGACTGACTGTCTTATAAAGAGCTGTCTTATAGAGAGCTGCCTGCCAGGCTAACTTATAGAGAGCTGCCTGACTAGCTGTCTTATAGAGAACTGTGTTATAGAGAGCTGCCTGACTGACTGTCTTATAAAGAGCTGTCTTATAGAGAGCTGTCTTATAGAGAACTGCCTGACTAGCTGTCTTATAGAGAACTGTGTTATAGAGAGCTGCCTGACTGACTGTCTTATAAAGAGCTGTCTTATAGAGAGCTGTCTTATAGAGAGCTGCCTGACCAACTGTCTTATAGAGAACTGTCTTATAGAGAGCTGCCTGACCAACTGTCTTATAGAGAACTGTGTTATAGAGAGCAGCCTGACCGAATGTCTTATAGAATGTCTTATGTGGTCCTCTGTAGCTCAATTGGTAGAGCATGGCGTTTGTAACGCCAGGGTAGTGGGTTTGATCCCCGGGACCACCCATATGAAAAAATTTATGCACACATGACTGTAAGTCGCTTTGGATAAAAGCGTCTGCTAAATGGCATATTATTATTCTTATAGTGGGCTGCCTGACCGACAGTCTTATAGAGAGCTGTCTTATAAAGAGCTGCCTTATAGAGAGCTGCCTTATAGAGAGCTGTCTTACAGAGAGCTGCCTGACCGACTGTCAAAGAGAGCTGTCTTATAGAGCGCTGTCTTAAAGAGAGCTGCTTTATAGAGAGCTGCCTGACCAGCTGCCTTATAAAGAGCATCCTGACCAGCTGCTTTATAGAGCACTTATTCCTTAGTTGCTTTATTCACATGGTGAGCTGCAAGACCCCAGGGGACCACTGGAATGGCCGACGGGCAGAGCGAGCCTCCATACACCTCCTACATTATTTATGAGAACAAAGTGAATGAGAGCTGAGGTACTTACAGGGATCATTAGGACACAACTAATCTATCCCAGTAATGTCAATACCAACATCTCATTAATGCCCATCCATCCCAGCTGTGAAGAGGTGGAGACTCGTACAGGAGGGGTGAAGAAGTGGATGCTAAAGGGACTTTATGGGTGCATAAGGTGATGTAATACATAGTAACTTTAAGGTCGGAATGCCAATTAATGTTGTAATGTTGCCAATTCAAATAGTCTTTCTAGTATACAGCGGCTTGCGAAAGTATTCACCCCCCTTGGCATTTTTCCTATTTTGTTGCCTTTCAACCTGCCATGAAAATTTATTTTTGGGGGGTTTGTATCATTTGATTTACACAACATGCCTACCATTTTGAAGATGCAAAATATTTTTTCTTGTGAGACAAACAAGAAATAAGACAAAAAAACAGAAGACTTGAGCGTGCATAACTTTAGAAAGCTGACTTATAGAGAGCTGCCTGACCGGCTGTCTTATAGAGAGCTGTCTTATAGAGAGCTGTCTTATAGAGAGCTGCCTGACTGACTGTCTTTTAAAGAGCTGTCTTATAGAGAGCTGCCTGACTGACTGTCTTATAGAGAGCTGCCTGACCGGCTGTCTTATAGAGAGCTGTCTAATAGAGAGCTGCCTGACTGACTGTCTTATAGAGAGCTGTCTTATAGAGAGCTGCCTGACTAACTGTCTTATAAAGAGCTGTCTTATAGAGAGCTGCCTGCCAGGCTAACTTATAGAGAGCTGCCTGACCGGCTGTCTTATAGAGAGCTGTCTTACAGAGAGCTGCCTGACCGACCGTCTTATAGAGAGCTGACTTATAGAGAGCTGCCTTATAGAGAGCTGCATTATAGAGAGTTGTCTTATGGAGAGCTGTCTTACAGAGAGTTGCCTGACCGACTGTCTTATAGAGAGCTATTTAATAGAGAACTGTCTGACTGACTGTCTTATGAGAGCTGCCTTATAGAGAGCTATTTTTTAGAGAGCTGAGTTATAGAGAGCTGTCTTATAGAGAGCTATTTTTTAGAGAGCTGAGTTATAGAGAGCTGTCTTATAGAAAGATGCCTGACTGACTGTCTTACCGAGAGCTGTCTTATAGAGAGAGCTGCCTGACCGACTCTATTATAGAGAGCTGTATACAGAGAGCTGTCTTATAGAAAACTGTCTCATAGAGAGCTGCTTGACCGACTGTCTTATAGAGAGCTGTCTTATAGAGAGCTGTCTTATAGAGAGCTTTCTGACTGACTGTCTTACAGAGAGCTGTTTTATGGAGAACTGTCTTATAGAGAGCTGTATTATAGAGAGCTTTCTTACAGAGAGCTGTCTTATAGATAACTGTCTTATAGAGAGCTGTCTTATAGAGAGCTACCTGGCCGACTGTCTTATAGAGAGCTGTTGAATAGAGAACTGTCTTATAGAGAGCTATCTTATAGAGAGCTGTATTACAGAGAGCTGTCTTATAAAGACCTGTCTTATAGAGAGCTGCCTGACCGACTGTCTTATAGAGAGCTGTCTTATAGAGAGCTGTATACAGAGAGCTGTCTTAAAGAGAACTATCTTACAGAGAGCTGTTTTACAGAAAACTGTCTTATAGAGAGCTGTCTTATAGAGAGTTGTTTTATAGAGAGCAGTCTTATGGAGAACTGTCTTATAGAGAGCTGTATAATAGAGAGCTGTCTTATAGAGAGCTGCCTGAATGACTGTCTTATAGAGAGCTGTCTTATAAAGAGCTGTCTTACAGAGAATTGTCTTAAAGAGAGCTGCCTTATGGAGAGATGCCTTACAGAGAGCTACCTGACCGACTGTCTTATAGAGAGCTGTATTATAGAGAGCTGTCTTATTGAGAGCTGTCTTACAGAGAGCTGCCTTATAGAGAGCTGTCTTATTGAGAGCTGTCTTAGAGAGAGCTGCCTGACTGACTGTCTTAGAGAGAGTTGCCTTATAGAGAGCTGCCTTATAGAGAGCTGCCTAACCGACTGTCTTATAGAGAGCTGTCTTATAGAGAGCTGCCTTATAGAGCTGTCTTACAGAGAGCTATCTTACAGAGAGCTGCCTTATAGAGTGCTGCCTTATAGAGAGCTGCCTGACTGACTGTCTTATAGAGAGCTCTTTTATAGAGAGCTGCCTGACCGACTGTCTTATAGAGAGCTGTCTTACAGTGGGCTGTCTGACCGACTGTCTTATAGAGAGCTGTCTTATAGAGAGCTGCCTTATAGAGCTGTCTTACAGAGAGCTGTCTTACAGAGAGCTGCCTTATAGAGAGCTGTCTTATAGAGAGCTGCCTGACCGACTGTCTTATGGAGAGCTGTCTCACAGAGAGCTGCCTGACCGACTGTCTTATAGACTGTCTTATGTGACTGTCTTATAGACTGTCTTACGTGGTCCTCTGTAGCTCAATTGGTAGAGCATGGCGCTTGTAACGCCAGGGTAGTGTGTTCGATCCCCGGGACCACCCATATGTAAAAATGTATGCACACATGACTGTAAGTCTCTTTGGATAAAAGCGTCTGCTAAATGGCATATTATTATTCTTATAGTGGGCTGCCTGACCGACCGTCTTATAAAGAGCATCCTGACCAGCTGCTTTATAGAGCACTTATTCCTTAGTTGCTTTATTCACATGGTGAGCTGCAAGACCCCAGGGGACCACTAGAATGGCCGACGGGCAGAGCAAGCCTCCATACACCTCCTACATTATTTATGAGAACAAAGTGAATGAGAGCTGAGGTACTTACAGGGATCATTAGGACACAACTAATCTATCCCAGTAATGTCAATACCAACATCTCATTAATGCCCCTCCATCCCAGCTGTGAAGAGGTGGAGACTCGTACAGGAGGGGTGAAGAAGTGGATGCTAAAGGGACTTTATGGGTGCATAAGGTGATGTAATACATAGTAACTTTAAGGTCGGAATGCCAATTAATGTTGTAATGTTGCCAATTCAAATAGTCTTTCTAGTATACAGCGGCTTGCGAAAGTATTCACCCCCCTTGGCATTTTTCCTATTTTGTTGCCTTACAAACTGGCATGAAAATTGATTTTTTTGGGGGGTTTGTATCATTTGATTTACACAACATGCCTACCATTTTGAAGATGCAAAATGTTTTTTCTTGTGAAACAAACAAGAAATAAGACAAAAAAACAGAAGACTTGAGCGTGCATAACTTTAGAAAGCTGACTTATAGAGAGCTGCCTGACTGACTGTCTTTTAAAGAGCTGTCTTATAGAGAGCTGCCTGCCAGGCTAACTTATAGAGAGCTGCCTGACCGGCTGTCTTGTAGAGAGCTGTCTTACAGAGAGCTGCCTGACCGACCGTCTTATAGAGAGCTGACTTATAGAGAGCTGTCTGACTGACTGTCTTAAAGAGAGCTGTCTTATAGAGAGCTGCCTTATAGAGAGCTGCATTATAGAGAGCTGTCTTATGGAGAGCTGTCTTACAGAAAGTTGCCTGACCGACTGTCTTATAGAGAGCTATTTAATAGAGAACTGTCTGACTGACTGTCTTATGAGAGCTGCCTTATAGAGAGCTATTTTTTAGAGAGCTGAGTTATAGAGAGCTGTCTTATAGAGAGCTATTTTTTAGAGAGCTGAGTTATAGAGAGCTGTCTTATAGAAAGATGCCTGACTGACTGTCTTACCGAGAGCTTTCTTATAGAGAGAGCTGCCTGACCGACTCTATTATAGAGAGCTGTATACAGAGAGCTGTCTTATAGAAAACTGTCTCATAGAGAGCTGCTTGACCGACTGTCTTATAGAGAGCTGTCTTATAGAGAGCTGTCTTATAGAGAGCTTTCTGACCGACTGTCTTACAGAGAGCTGTTTTATGGAGAACTGTCTTATAGAGAGCTGTATTATAGAGAGCTTTCTTACAGAGAGCTGTCTTATAGATAACTGTCTTATAGAGAGCTGTCTTATAGAGAGCTACCTGGCCGACTGTCTTATAGAGAGCTGTTGAATAGAGAACTGTCTTATAGAGAGCTATCTTATAGAGAGCTGTATTACAGAGAGCTGTCTTATAAAGACCTGTCTTATAGAGAGTTGCCTGACCGACTGTCTTATAGAGAGCTGTCTTATAGAGAGCTGTATACAGAGAGCTGTCTTAAAGAGAACTATCTTACAGAGAGCTGTTTTACAGAAAACTGTCTTATAGAGAGATGTCTTATAGAGAGTTGTTTTATAGAGAGCAGTCTTATGGAGAACTGTCTTATAGAGAGCTGTATAATAGAGAGCTGTCTTATAGAGAGCTGCCCGAACGACTGTCTTATAGAGAGCTGTCTTATAAAGAGCTGTCTTATAGAGAATTGTCTTAAAGAGAGCTGCTTTATGGAGAGATGCCTTACAGAGAACTACCTGACCGACTGTCTTATAGAGAGCTGTATTATAGAGAGCTGTCTTATTGAGAGCTGTCTTACAGAGAGCTGCCTTATAGAGAGCTGTCTTATTGAGAGCTGTCTTAGAGAGAGCTGCCTGACCGACTGTCTTAGAGAGAGTTGCCTTATAGAGAGCTGCCTTATAGAGAGCTGCCTAACCGACTGTCTTATAGAGAGCTGTCTTATAGAGAGCTGCCTTATAGAGCTGTCTTACAGAGAGCTATCTTACAGAGAGCTGCCTTATAGAGTGCTGCCTTATAGAGAGCTGCCTGACTGACTGTCTTATAGAGAGCTCTTTTATAGAGAGCTGCCTGACCGACTGTCTTATAGAGAGCTGTCTTACAGTGGGCTGCCTGACCGACTGTCTTATAGAGAGCTGTCTTATAGAGAGCTGCCTTATAGAGCTATCTTACAGAGAGCTGTCTTACAGAGAGCTGCCTTATAGAGAGCTGTCTTATAGAGAGCTGCCTGACCGACTGTCTTATGGAGAGCTGTCTCACAGAGAGCTGCCTGACCGACTGTCTTATAGACTGTCTTATGTGACTGTCTTATAGACTGTCTTATGTGGTCCTCTGTAGCTCAATTGGTAGAGCATGGCGCTTGTAACGCCAGCGTAGTGGGTTCGATCCCCGGGACCACCCATATGTAAAAATTTATGCACACATGACTGTAAGTCTCTTTGGATAAAAGCGTCTGCTAAATGGCATATTATTATTCTTATAGTGGGCTGCCTGACCGACCGTCTTATAAAGAGCATCCTGACCAGCTGCTTTATAGAGCACTTATTCCTTAGTTGCTTTATTCACATGGTGAGCTGCAAGACCCCAGGGGACCACTGGAATGGCCGACGGGCAGAGCAAGCCTCCATACACCTCCTACATTATTTATGAGAACAAAGTGAATGAGAGCTGAGGTACTTACAGGGATCATTAGGACACAACTAATCTATCCCAGTAATGTCAATACCAACATCTCATTAATGCCCATCCATCCCAGCTGTGAAGAGGTGGAGACTCGTACAGGAGGGGTGAAGAAGTGGATGCTAAAGGGACTTTATGGGTACATAAGGTGATGTAATACATAGTAACTTTAAGGTCGGAATGCCAATTAATGTTGTAATGTTGCCAATTCAAATAGTCTTTCTAGTATACAGCAGCTTGCGAAAGTATTCACCCCCCTTGGCATTTTTCCTATTTTGTTTTCTTACAACCAGTCATGAAAATGGATTTATTGGGGGGTTGTATCATTTGATTTACACAACATGACTACCAATTTGAAGATGCAAAATATTTTTTCTTGTGAAACAAAAAGTCAATACTTTGTAGAGCCACTTTTTGCAGCAATTACAGGTGCAAGTCTCTTGGAGTATGTCTCTATAAGCTTGGCACATCTAGCCACTGGGATTGTTGCCCATTCTTCAAGGCAAAACTGCTCCAGCTCCTTCAAGTTGGTTGGGTTCTGCTGGTGTACAGCAATCTTTAAGTCATACCACAGATTCTCAATTGGATTGAGGTCTGGGCTTTGACTAGGCCATTCCAAGACATTCAAATGTTTCCCCTTAAACCACTCGAGTGTTGCTTTAGCAGCATACTTAGGGTCATTGTCCTGCTGGAAGGTGAACCTCCGTCCCAGTCTCAAATCTCTGGAAGACTGAAACAGGTTTCCCTCAATAATTTCCCTGTATTTAGGGCCATCCATCATTCCTTCAATTCTGACCAGTTTCCCAGTCCCTGCCGATGAAAAACATCCCCACAGCATGATGCTGCCACCACCATGCTTCACTGTAGTGATGGTGTTCTCGGGTGATAAGAGGTTTTGGGTTTGCGCCAGACATAGCGTTTTCCTTGATGGCCAAAAAGCTCAATTCTAGTCTCATCTGACCAGAGTACCTTCGTCCATATGTTTGGGGAGTCTCCCACATGTCTTTTGGCGAACACCAAACGTGTTTGCATATTTTTTTTTTTAAGCAATGGCTTTTTTCTGGCCACTCTTCCATAAAGCCCAGCTCTGTGGATTGTATGGCTTAAAGTGGTCCTATGGACAGATACTCCAATCTCCGCTGTGGAGCTTTGCAGCTCCTTCAGGGTTATCTTTGGTCTCTTTGTTGCCTCTCTGATTAATGCCTGGGCCGTGAGTTTCGGTGGGCGAGCCTCTCTTGGCAGGTTTGTTGTGGTGCCATATTCTTTCAATTTTTTAATAATAGATTTAATGGGATGTTCAAAGTTTGGGATATTGTTTTATAACCCAACACTGATCTGCACTTCTCCACAACTTTGTCCCTGACCTGTTGGGAGAGCTCCTTGGTCTTCATGGTGCCGCTTGCTTGCTGGTGCCCCTTGCTTAGTGGTGTTGCATACTCTGGGGCCTTTCAGAACAGATGTATATATATTGAGATCATGTGACACTTAGTTTGCACACAGGTGGACTTTATTTAACTAATTATGTGACTTCTGAAGGTAATTGGTTGCACCAGAACTTATTTAGGGGCTTCATAGCAAATGGGGTGAATACATATGCACGCACCACTTTTCCGTTATATATTTTGTAGAATTCTTTGAAACATGTAATTTTTTTCATTTCACTTCACAAATTTGGACTAATAAAAATCCATTTAAACGACAGGTTGTAATGCAACAATATAGGAAAAACGCCAAGGGGGATGAATACTTTTGCAAGGCACTGTATACAAGGCTAGCTCTACACAAGCCCTGCTAAATGGAGTGCACTTTAGTTCAATAGCCTATAAGCTTGGAAAGGACTGAGGAGAGCCATTGACAACCCACACTGTCGGATGTAGGCTAGTTTTGGATGTCTGTTTCCAGGAGACCTGAGGTGAGATGGTGTATCTGAGCTGCTTCGTTGACCCCAGTATAGCCTGTCGGAGGCAGACACCATGCTGTCGGAGTCTTGCAACAAAACTGCCAGCTGCAATAAAGTGGATTTTAGGTCATTACACTGTGTATATCAGCTCAGTGATGTCAAATGGGAAGGTTGATGTTACCTTAGTTCTGCTTGATTGAGTTTGACTGGCGGAACCAATCGAAAAGTCCCAAAGGTGCAAACACGGTGTGTGGTCCTCTGTAGCTCAATTGGTAGAGCACGGCGCTTGTAACGCCAGGGAAGTGGGTTCGATCCCCGGGACCACCCATACGTAAAAATGTATGCACACGTGACTGTAAGTCGCTTTGGACAAAAGTGTCTGCTAAATGGCATATTATTATTATTCAGAGGAGGCTGGTGGGATGAGCTATAGGACGACGGGCTCATTGTAATGGCTGGAATGGAATACATGGAATGGAGTCAAACAGATTAAACATATGGAAACCACATGTTGGACTCCATACCATTGATTTAATTCCAGCCATTACAATAAGCCTGCCTCCTATAGCTCCTCCCACCAGCTTCCACTGACTGTGTGGTATTGGAGTGGGTGTCAGCGGAGTGTATGACTGAAGTGGTGTGGTGTATGGCTGAAGTAGTGTGGTGTATGGCTGAAGTAGTATGGTGTATGGCTGAAGTAGTGTGGTGTATGGCTGAAGTAGTATGGTGTATGGCTGAAGCAGTGTGATGTATGGCTGAAGCAGTGTGGTGTATGGCTGAAACAGTGTGGTGTATGGCTGAAGCAGTGTGGTGTATGGCTGAAGCAGTGTGTTGTATGTTTGAAGTAGTGTGATGTATGGCTGAAGTAGTGTGATGTATGGCTGAAGTAGTGTGGTGTATGGCTGAAGTAGTGTGGTGTATGGCTGAAGTAGTGTGGTGTATGGCTGAAGCAGTGTGTTGTATGGCTGAAGTAGTGTGGTGTATGGCTGAAGTAGTGTGGTGTATGGCTGAAGCAGTGTGGTGTATGGCTGAAGTAGTGTGGTGTATGGCTGAAGTAGTGTGGTGTATGGCTGAAGCAGTGTGGTGTGTGTAGCTCAGTTGGTAGAGCATGGCATTTGCAACGCCAGGGTTGTGGGTTCGATTCCCACGGGGGGCCAGTATGAAAATGTATTCACTCACTAACTGTAAGTTGCTCTGGATAAGAGCGTCTGCTAAATGACTAAAATGTATGGCTGAAGCAGGTGTCTTACCGTCCTGTGCACCTTGTCCTCCAGGTCTTGATTGATCCTCTGTTGTGCTGCATAACTGCTCTGGATCCTGCAGGACAGGAAAGAGTACACATTGGCTATGTAATTCAGAGTATGAATACGCTTTCAAAAAACCAAGTATTCATTTACTTTTTTTCAAGATGATGAATATGAAAATCCAAAGCAGTGGTTTGGATTTGAAAATCATTCAATGGATATCTCTGGTTGTCTGTACTGTACTATATATACTGTACAGTGATACTTTTTGGACAAGAGTCCTAGCCTCAAAATGGAAGCATGGAAAAACCAATTTCATGTGATCAAAGCAAAATTTGAATTCCTTTCGTGTTATTTTTTGTTGTTGAGAAAATGCGGTGAAAAATGCATAATCAAACCTGTAGGACTGACGCATGACTCATGAATGAGTGGAGGATTTTGGCAACGTTTCAGCACCCGTCGAGGTGTGTTTCCTAGCACAAAACACTGTTTTCTGGTCGGCTTCCAAAACATTAGTGGGCTTAATGGAATAAGCTGTTCTTCCACCTCCACTTTCCATTAGTTAAATCATTACCAGCATTAGGCTACTATCTAGTTTTTAGCACACAGCGCTGCATGTCATTATCATTGGCCCCGGTCTCATGGGGGTTTGGATACATTGTGGCATTTATGACCCCATTTACCAAGCAGCTATGGAGATTCATTGTTAAAAATGTCTGTTATAGAAGAAAAGACGGTGCTCTAGAACTAAAGTGGATTTGGAGGTTAAACTGCAGGACGGTCAACAATGATTTCTCTCAAAACATGTTCTATGTGCTTTCTTTGTTCGCTGTCACAAGTTTAATTGACATTGCTATTGTAGGCGGATACCGGGGACAATTGTAACAAAGGTTAGTTGTAACAGGTTAAATAACTCAAATTAGAAACCAAGGTGTTATTCAATGTGCCAATGCTTGGTTAGTGTCTCCACATGTCTATGAAGATTCTTTGAAATTCATCAATTGTGGGTTTTATGCATATATTTTTAAATAAGGTTGTTTCTCTCTTTTTTTTTATTGACCTGTGGAACATTCTCCATGTATCTCAACTCAGCAAAAAAAGAAACGTCCCTTTTTCAGGACCCTGTCTTTCAAAAATAATTAGTAAAAATCCAAATAACTTCACAGATCTTCATTGTAAAGGGTTTAAACACTGTTTCCCATGCTTGTTCAAT